CCGCGGTCAACTACGTGGGAGTCCAGCGACATAGCCATTACGCTAACTGCTGGTTCCCTCTCCTCATTTCTTTTAAGTACACATTATAATTCATCTTTAACTTTATGATATCAAGCACTTTCTCCTCTACCTATTGCTTGTTTTCCATTTATTTCCTTATGATTGTTGAGTGGTGAAAGCCACAGTGTTTATGATATCAGAGAGTGTATATTGATGGTGAAAAGTTAAATCAATACTAAAGAAAGGAAAAGGGCTTGATGCTTTCAATTAATCAACTTAGTAAAATATGATATCAATACAAGTTGAAGGATCAGTTTGAATGTCATTATCTCCAAGAAGTCTGAAATCAGTACAAGCTAAGGGGAAAAGATCTGTATCTTACTTTCTATCCATCAACATAAATCTAACTTTATCTCTAACCAAACATTAACTCTTTCTTACTAAATCAGTTTGAGTTTTATAGTTTTGTGAGGCTGCTTGTTAAGCAATCAATATTTGCTGTCAGGATTATTTAATTACAGATCATATGACCTTTTATCATTAGAAAATCCTGTAATGAGCAAAAATAAATCTAGATCAGTGGTTTTCAAGCTCTGCTCATCAAAATTTGGTGAGCTCTTCAGGGGACCCCAAGTCAAAGGAAGAGACAAAAGGCTGAAGGAGGCTAAAGGCAAGACTTAGACCCTCTTTTTAACCCTCTTACCAGAGCTACTTTGCTTTTATTGTGTCATATTTTGGTTTTCACATGCAGTATGTTTTTTGAGTCATGTAAAAAAATAATGTATACTTAAGAACTCTATGCACAAAACATTATGTATAAGCTGACAGAAAGAAACACCACATCCACCCTCAAAAAGCCTATAAAAAGTTGTTTGAAAGTATATACATATGCATTGGGTTGAAAATAAACCATAAGACAATTTGTCCCAGTTGAATGAAGAAGCATTTTAAGAAGAAAATATTTCAGAGATGAACTAGATCTCAAGGTCTGTGAAGGACATAGATTAGCAAATAGAGTGAGAGGTTTTCTAGGTAGAGAAAAATAAATGATGAGACACTTGATTTGAGCCAAGTTTAAAAACTGGGTTGGAATGGCCATAGCCAAGGGATGGGGATGAATGAATCAGAGTCTTAGAGAACGATTTTGCATACAGGGTGAGAGGGAAAGAAGCACAGATCTAAAAGTAATTTTTAAAAAGGAACTTAAAAGTTAAAAAAAATGTCTAGTCCCTGCTTTCCCAACAGTGAGAACGCGTTGCATTAAGTCACTCCCACTCTGCCGCCTGATCCATTCCTTAGGGATAGGAGGAAAGGAAGAAATGGTCCATTGTGATTAATAGTTTCTAAGAGGAGACAAGATTGGGAATTCTTATAAGGAAAACTTAACTCACACCTAAGACCCTTGTTCTCTGCCTTTGAGAGCCATGCTTTAAGAAGTGGACTGAAATAGGCCTGAGTGTTGCTCCCTGATGTAGCTGACTGATGGGGACCGAACATTGTCTAAAGCTTTTCCACACTCATTACATTCATATTACATTCATGGCACTTGCTCCGGTGTGAACTCTAGTGAGCTAAAATGGCTCTAACAGTCATATGATGGCTTTCCCCCAATTATTCCATTTAGAAGTTTTCTCCCCAGAATGAGTTCTCTGTTGTGACGTAAGATGGGTGCTATAACAAAAGACCTTCCCACATCATTATGTTCAAGGGTTTCTCGCCAATGTGAATTCTCAGACGTGTAATGAGGCATGAGTTTTGAATGCAGATTTCCCATGTGTATTACCCATACAGGACTTTTTACGTGAGTGTAGTCTCGGACATAGAATAAGACATTTGCTCAGACTGAATGCTTTGCCATACTTTGTTCAAAAGGTTCCCCACCTCCTCATCCTCCCCTCCCCTGTGGTATAAATTTTCTTGTAGTCAATTAATTAAGAGTTCTAATGGAAGGTTTTTTCCAGATCACCTGCATTTTTATCCTTTTTCTATGCTCCCCAATGTGGAGGCTCTGATATTGGGTTAGACATTACTGTGACTGAAGGTCTTATCATATCCATGGCACCCTGAAGGCTTCTCTCCAGTGTGGATTCTCTGATAGCCAATAAGGTGTCCATTGGAAGTGAGGTTTTTTTTTTTTTTTCCCCACGCTCATTTCGGCTGTCAGATTTCTTATTTTATTGTTCAGAGGAGTGGAAGACAGATTAAAATGTGCCCATGGGAGGGTGCCCCCTGGCCATGTTTGTCCTGTTTACTGCTGTAGCCACAGATGTCCAGCCCTGTACTAAGCACAGTAGGTCAGAGCAAATAGTTACAGGAGGCAGCGCTACTTAGTGTGGCTTCAGAGCCTCAAGGAAAGCACTGCTGGCCACTGGGTGCTGCAGAGAGAGTGTGGTCCCAGCTGCAGTGCTAGGCTAGTGACTCCAGTCCTAGGCAGCTATCTGTAGTGTACCTGGAGGCCTCCCCTTAATGCCAATGCTCCAAATTCTCAAGGCCCACACAAGTCAGAGTTCATGTTTAATTTTCACTGAGAAATTTGCTTTACTCCTCGAAAAGCAACAAAAAATCAAGAAAGCAAAAGCAGAAAACCAATACTCAATGGACATTGTGGGTTTTTTTTCCATCTACCTCTTCAAAATGTTGAGTTCTATATATGTTTAGCATTAACAGTGACTACTGCTAATAAAGTTATACCCAGAAAGAAATATCTCAATTCATAGAATTTGATGCTTATTTTGTTATTTTTTGGAATATGTTTATGAAGGCTATAAAAAATTTTTGTAGGCCATCTTGGTGTTAAAACCAAAGTCATAAAGATAATGGTATCAAGTTTTTAGCAAAATTTGTATCTTCATATTAGTAATGGTCAACTTTTCCACCTAGTTATGGGGTTCATTTTTTTGACTTACAACTTCGATCAAGTAACATTTTTTTCTGCATGTGTGATAGCTTAATCTCTTCACTTTTAAATTTTATATATCAATAATTTTCTCCATTAGTGCCTTTCTACTCTTGTCCTTTTGAGAAAGAAGAGAATAACGTTTATCAGGGGGACTAGCAGATGGCATAATTGCTATGTCACTGGATTCCCACATAGTCAACCATAGTTAGAGTCTTAGATTTGGCAGCTTAAAACTCACGGTGGGAGTGTGCGTGTGTGTGTGTGTGTGTGCACATGCCCAAAAATCCCTAGAGGAGAATGGAGAAGTGTTTGTGGTGTGGCCAAACCCTCTGGGGGGGTGATTTCTTGTGTTCTGTCTCTCTATCTCTTTTTGTCTCTCTGGCAAATGTACACGCCCTGTAGCAAACTCTTAACCACCCCCCTAAAGAAATAAAAAAGTAAAGTTTATCAGGAACAAAGGAGAAAGACTTATTCTACATCTGAGAAGAGTGACTGAGGAGTCCCATGTGACAGAGGCCTAAGAAGAGGTGAGTTTGACAATGCCAGGGAAGGCTTTCCAGGCATGAGGAAAACCATGAAATAAATCATGTGGCATCCTGACATAGGGGCATCAAGAATTTTAAATCGAATCAAATAGAGATAAGCTAACGATTAATTTTAGTTCTAGTATGGTTGTACACATAGTCTAAACAAAGCATTAAATTATATCCAGCCAGCATGGGGTCACCAAACCAACCATTCTGAATAAGTCAATAAACTAATCCAGCAAGAAGTACATTTATCCTAACTGGTCACAGTGCATCAAATGGCACACATAGTATGGATGAGTTTGAATTGCCTTTTCCTTCAAATAATTGCAGTGTCAATTTATGAATTCTTTCTGTATTTCAAAAATGTAAAGTCAACTAAAGAATACAAAACAGAAAAACTCAGTTTATGGGCTGAATAAATTGACTTACATTGTGATCAATCCCTTTTATACATAGGGCAGGGTTCAGGGGAAGGTGACAAGTATTTATATCTTGAAAGAATTCTTCTAGTCTGCCAATCTCTTTCTTTAGTATCTCCTGTAAAAAAAAGAATATTGGAAAAGCATTTTAAAAAACTGTAAAGAATTTGAATTACCTTCAAGTTATATTTTTTTTCTATTGATTAAATAAGTACTTTAATTCAGGGGTTGCACACTTGGATGGCTACGGGGTCAGGGAGGTGATGTAGTCATGTGTATGGAGGCAGCAGGCTAGGACAAGAGGGAGTATAGGGGGACAATAGGGCACTCAGGGTGTGTGCTCTTCCAGAACAACCTCAAATTCAATTAAAAACGAAAACAAAACAAAGCACTGTGCCATTCAACCAAAACACAATGAGTTGAACTTGACCTGTGGCCCACCAGTTGCATCCCTTCCTATAAGTAATTACTAACAGGGACCTTTCTGATAATTCCTTAAAATATTAGTTTGTAACTTGCAAGATTTACACCTAGTAGTAATACTAATAGGAATAATACATATATTTTTTTTGAGAGATTTTTTGCTATAGGGCGTGTGTGCTCGCCAGACAGACAGAGAGAGACAGAGAGACAGAAAGCGAGAAATCACCCCCCAGGGGGGATGGTCATGCTGCAATCCTGTCTCCTCCATTCTCCTCTCGGGATCTTGGGCACGCACTCAACACACGCCCAATGTGAGATTTAAGCCACCGGGTCTGGGATGCGAACCACGCTCGACTACGTGGGAATCCAGCGACATAGCCATTACGCTAACTGCTGGCTCCCAGGAATAATACATTTTAGAAAAATATCCACATATGTTAATGACAAAAATATTACAATTGCTGAATGCTATCAGAAACAAAAATATTTGTAGTTTAGAGATAAGCTAATGATTAATTTTAGTTCTAGTATGGTTGTACACATAGTCTAAACAAAGCATTAAATTAATTAATTTTTAAGTTAAAATCTCATTATTATTTATTTATTAGACAATTAACATCTTTCAAAATTCTTCTGGTTTTACTTTTTTTTTGAGAGGTTTTTGCTATAGGGCGTGTGTGCTCGCCAGACAGACAGAGAGAGATAGAGAGACAACAAGCGAGAAATCACCCCCCAGGGGAGATGGCCACGCCGCAATCCCTTCTCCTCCATTCTCCTCTCGGGATCTTGAGCACACATGTACATACTTCTGCTGTGAGTTTTAAGCCACTGGGTTTGGGACTCAAACCCCAGTTGACTACATGGGAATCCATCAAGACCATTATGCCATCTGCTGGTCCCAGTGACAGACATTATCATTAACTTCAGGACAGTCAATGGAAAAACAAAATCTTGATTAAAATAATTGATCTAAGTGTCTTATGACTAAATGTAGTCAAGAATTTGCTTCCCAAGGTAGAAAAATTAAAACTTATTTGAATCAAAGTAAAAAAAAGAAAGAAAGAAAGAAAGAGAAAAAAAATTACTACTCGAAGATCAATTTCTCAACAAACCTGTCTTTGAGAGTCACTGGCAGACTTGACTTTTTCCCCAATATCTCCCAGAATTTTGATAAGTTTCCTCTCTTTGGAAAACTCATCACTCAAGGCTTTTCCTGCACAGAATTGGAGAGCAGCCAGCAGCTTCTGATACCAGCCTTTAAAATAAGCTTCATTCTGTGCATCCTTTAGCAGCCTGAAGGGAAGAGGGAAAAAAAAAAAAAAAAAGAATTCTAGTATCTAAAGCTGATTTTTAAATGACCTGGAGGAGGAACAATAGGTACATTTCAGATTCTTCTGTATGTAGTGGCTCCGGGGCAGCTTAACACCTCAGGATGGGGAACAACGTTATTTGTTGGCAGTCATCAAGTTTAGCCAGATAGCTAATGAGATTCTAAGAGGGAACAATCAATAGGAGACCTGCTTTTTCTCATTTCAATTCACAATGCACTTTCCCTTCTTTCAGTGTTCTTAATTCTGAAACAAACACAGCTCAGGAACATATTTTTGACTTCTTATAAAAGTATGGACAAAGGATCTTAGAAATAGTATTTTTAAGTGACTATACTCTATTGTGACTTAACCACTAGGCCCATTTTTTTTTTCTAATGGTAATGTCCCCACACTGTCACATACCTATGTGCTATTCGCACTCTCTGTTACTTGGAGGAAGATATGGTAAAGGCAAGAGCACAGATTTTTGTTTTCAGGCATTTCCAGACTCAAATCCCAGCTGTGCAAACTAAAATGACTTAGGCCAGTTATTTAATCAGGGTGAGAGTTTTCTCTCTTCTTCTGTAAAAGAACATAATAACTCTGATTCTATACAGCTGAGTCAAGCATAGAATGAGCTAATGCATTTGAAAGTACTCAGAACAATGAAAGTAGTAGTGAGTCACAAAATATTAGTGCATATGAATCTCACAGCACGCCCAGGTCCGCTTCTGTCTGCCTGGCAGTCTGCTCTTTTCATGTCATGGGAGGCATAGAACAAGAGGAAGTAAGAATATTTTGCTAAATAAGGGAGCAGTGACAAATATTTGATTATTCTCTCTGCCACAAGACAATTTCTATGACTGTGAAACCAATTCTAACACATTAAAACTATCAGTTATACCCAAAACACTGAAATGAAATAAAAAAGGCTAATTCCTTTGAACCTGTACATCTCTTTGACTGATTCTTTTAATCTCAACTGCTCTTTAGATTTCTCCTCCTTTACAAAGTAATTAGCAGTCAAGAAATGTGAAGAAAATTGAAGAATGGAATTTTGGGGAGAAAAAGGATTTCTGGCATAATAGCCAAAAAATAGGAAAGTTTCATTTTGCATTTCTAATTTTGCATATCAGCCCCAAATGTACTATATTACAGAAATTATCACAAATGCATTATTTTTATCTGGTCAATATATTCCACTCGCACACATTTAAGTGAAGAAATTGGTTGAAGGGGGGTCTCAATTTTTTTTTTCTTTAACAAGCGAGGCCCTGCTCTTTTTGTTATTGTTATGAAGTCAACTAACCTTCTAATACCTCTTCTACTTTCTCAAAGGAAATATAAACTTTGTGTGGAATAATAGTTTGTATTTATTTTTTGAAAGTATTAAACACACACACACATGGGGTTGGCAGGTGGGTGATGGGTAAGGCACTGGACTCCCACATGGCTGACCATGGTATAAGTCCTGGACAGACCCGGCAGCTTGCTTTCTCAGTTTCCTTCTCTCTCTCTCTTTGTCTCTCTCTGGTCAAATTAAAAAATAATAACATGGGACCAGCACGTGGCATAATGATTAAGGTCCTAGAATTCCATATGGTTGACCACGGGTCAAGTTTCAGACTTAACAGCATGAAACTCCCTCCAGGTGCATGTGTGTGCGTGGACAAATCCAGAGAAGAGAATAGAGGAGAAGGTACTGTGGTGTGGCCCTCCTCCCAGGGGGTGATTTTTTTGCTTTCTGTCTCTCTACACACATCCTATAGTAAAAATCTCTAATATACATATATTATATATAAACACACACACAGACACACACACACACACACACACACACACAGACAAAGCCTCTCAAGGGGCAAATGATGTATTTCAGGGAAAAATTACTCTGTTGGTAGTTGGTTATTTTCAACAGAAGAAGAAGAGTAGACAATGAAAAGTTTTTCTTACTTACTCCATGATGAGATTTTGAAATATCTAACAAATAGTAAATGAATCACATTATTTGGATATTCTAAGAAAATGCATGTAGTGTATGTGTGAATGCAAAGCTGGAAATCCAAGTATACTCATGTGAAACTTCAAGACATTTTATGTAGAACCGTATACTTCTAGGATTACCACAATACTTTGAGGATCTTAGAAATGGAACTCTTTATAATCTACTTGGGTCTCAATAAAGTAGAGTTTATAGAGACAGTATTTCTATATCTGAAGTCAGGGTTTATTGATATTGTCATGCACTTTGAATAATGGGACACTTATTAATAAAAATATTTTAACCTGTTCTAGAATATATTTCTATAACTACCCACTTGCTATATTCATCATAAAAATTATTCAGCATTGATAAAATAAGCAATTTTTACTCAAATAATTTTAAGCAAGATATATTCTGAGATTGAGGTCATAGGGATCTCAATTTGTATTCATAATTTTTAATTTTATTAGAAATGAACTTTCTTCTCTTATTAACAATCTATTTGCTTTTCTCTGGTTCAAGGAGAAAAAATCAAAACAAAACAAAACAAAACAAAACCCTTCAATTTGATTCCTTGTCAACATAAAACAGAGAAGGGGAGGTTTACAGAGAGAATGTGGCCATGTTTTTAAAAAACATAAAAGCTAAGAAAACCCAGTGTATTCTGTGATTGTTTTCCTTGGATGTATTCCTCATCTGAACCCTGCATCCCTGCCAAGATTACATGTTTCCTTGGTGAGATCTGGTGCAAGCTCTGTGCTTTCTATTCCACTTGTGAAGTTTGTTTTTACATCCTACAGAACTGAAATCACAAAGTGTTAGAGATGACGTGAGAGGTCTGTTATGCTATTCCTGTATCCTTAGGTCACAGACATTTTAGCTGACAAAAAAATTAACATGCCCCTTAATTGTGAACAACTGCAGATGTGGCTGGACTGTACAGTTTTGATGGAGGGTAACTCAGTTCTGTGTCAACAATCTTCACAGCAAGGATGTGGCAAACTCCTCTTGCTGTGGTTTTTACCCATTGCTTCTGTTTATAAGACTGTAGAAAACGGATGCTCACACTTCGAGCATTTCAGGAATCCTTTTCAAAAGACGTTGTAACTGGGGAGCAAGAGTATTGCTTATGCCAGATGAAATGTCTAAAAATAAAAAAGTGAAAGTGAAGAGAGCACCAAGTAACAAGCAAGACTTGCCATTAAAAACCTGGGCTGTTAACTGGACAGACCCGGCAGCTTGCTTTCTCAGTTTCCTTCTCTCTCTCTCTTTGTCTCTCTCTGGTCAAATTAAAAAATAATAACATAGGACCAGCACGTGGCATAATGATTAAGGTCCTAGAATTCCATATGGTTGACCACGGGTCAAGTTTCAGACTTAACAGCATGAAACTCCCTCCAGGTGCATGTGTGTGCGTGGACAAATCCAGAGAAGAGAATAGAGGAGAAGGTACTGTGGTGTGGCCCTCCTCCCAGGGGGTGATTTTTTTGCTTTCTGTCTCTCTACACACATCCTATAGTAAAAATCTCTAATATACATATATTATATATAAACACACACACAGACACACACACACACACACACACACACACAGACAAAGCCTCTCAAGGGGCAAATGATGTATTTCAGGGAAAAATTACTCTGTTGGTAGTTGGTTATTTTCAACAGAAGAAGAAGAGTAGACAATGAAAAGTTTTTCTTACTTACTCCATGATGAGATTTTGAAATATCTAACAAATAGTAAATGAATCACATTATTTGGATATTCTAAGAAAATGCATGTAGTGTATGTGTGAATGCAAAGCTGGAAATCCAAGTATACTCATGTGAAACTTCAAGACATTTTATGTAGAACCGTATACTTCTAGGATTACCACAATACTTTGAGGATCTTAGAAATGGAACTCTTTATAATCTACTTGGGTCTCAATAAAGTAGAGTTTATAGAGACAGTATTTCTATATCTGAAGTCAGGGTTTATTGATATTGTCATGCACTTTGAATAATGGGACACTTATTAATAAAAATATTTTAACCTGTTCTAGAATATATTTCTATAACTACCCACTTGCTATATTCATCATAAAAATTATTCAGCATTGATAAAATAAGCAATTTTTACTCAAATAATTTTAAGCAAGATATATTCTGAGATTGAGGTCATAGGGATCTCAATTTGTATTCATAATTTTTAATTTTATTAGAAATGAACTTTCTTCTCTTATTAACAATCTATTTGCTTTTCTCTGGTTCAAGGAGAAAAAATCAAAACAAAACAAAACAAAACAAAACCCTTCAATTTGATTCCTTGTCAACATAAAACAGAGAAGGGGAGGTTTACAGAGAGAATGTAGCCATGTTTTTAAAAAACATAAAAGCTAAGAAAACCCAGTGTATTCTGTGATTGTTTTCCTTGGATGTATTCCTCATCTGAACCCTGCATCCCTGCCAAGATTACATGTTTCCTTGGTGAGATCTGGTGCAAGCTCTGTGCTTTCTATTCCACTTGTGAAGTTTGTTTTTACATCCTACAGAACTGAAATCACAAAGTGTTAGAGATGACGTGAGAGGTCTGTTATGCTATTCCTGTATCCTTAGGTCACAGACATTTTAGCTGACAAAAAAATTAACATGCCCCTTAATTGTGAACAACTGCAGATGTGGCTGGACTGTACAGTTTTGATGGAGGGTAACTCAGTTCTGTGTCAACAATCTTCACAGCAAGGATGTGGCAAACTCCTCTTGCTGTGGTTTTTACCCATTGCTTCTGTTTATAAGACTGTAGAAAACGGATGCTCACACTTCGAGCATTTCAGGAATCCTTTTCAAAAGACGTTGTAACTGGGGAGCAAGAGTATTGCTTATGCCAGATGAAATGTCTAAAAATAAAAAAGTGAAAGTGAAGAGAGCACCAAGTAACAAGCAAGACTTGCCATTAAAAACCTGGGCTGTTAAGGTCCAGGTGATGTGGGACTAGCAGTTGGCATAATGGCTATGTT